CAATGTCTTAAGGAAAGTAAAGAAAAGAAAGGTGCACTTAAAATGTAGTAAAAGTCCTCTTTTGATACGCTACTAAACAGAGAATATTGCTAATATTGGGAGATTTCATTTTCAGCATGAATCTTGAAAGAAATAATTAAAAGAATGTAAAATGACTATTACCAAAATGAATCTAAAGCAATGAAAATTCTGGGATCGGGATGGGGAAATACATGTAAATCCATGGCTGATTCATGTCAATGTGTGACAAAAACCACTACAATATTGTAAAATAATTAGCCTCTAACTAATAAAATAAATGGAAAAAAAGAAGTGTCTTCCATTTTCACTAAACTACACAAATTTCAATATTATAATTTTCATCATTTTATGCATCTTTAACAATATCTATGTATCTTCCTTGACTTGGTATTTTAAAGTTTTTAAAATTTTTGAATTAGATTTTATAGTTACTTTTTCCAATATAATTGCATTTGAGGCATATACGGTATAACTTTAAAAAAATTTTAATTCCTGTGATTTCTTATATGTACATTTTCAATTTGTACAAATATAGCAAGTATGTTAGAGAAGAATGTATCATCTTTTCACGATATCTAAGTGCAGAACTTTTTATTGTTCAATGAATGTGTGTGTGCGTCAGGCGCTCAGTCATGTCTAACTCTTCTGGGACCTCATGAGCTGTAGCCTGCTGTACCCTCCTCATGAAATTCTGCAGGAAAGAATATGGGTAGCCATTCTCTTCTCCAGGGGATCTTCCCCACAGAGGGATCTTGAATGGATCTCTTGAATTGCAGGTAGATTCCTTACCATCTGAACCACTAGGGAACCCCTGTTCAATGAATATTTGTTAATTGTGTTTTTCAAATTTTGTCTTAGACACTTTTTATGATTGACCTAGCAGTAACTGAAAGTATTTCAAAATCTCCCAGATGATGTTGAATCATCAGTTTCATCCCATAGTTCTATTAAATTTACTTTGTTTATTTTAGGGTCACTCTAAAGATATAAACAACATACTCATTATGGTGAATTGAAACCTATATAATATGTAAGGCATCTGTCTTACATTATGTCATAAAATCCACTTGATCTCCTTCCTGTCTTCAGCTATTTTCCTGGAAAATTTTATTATACCTGTACTTTCAGCATTTCTATGTCCAATGTGTTATTCTTCTAGGAAGAACATGTTATATTTATTTTCAGTCTGACAAGCTCTTGAACTGTCAAATTTTGTTTATTTGAATTTATGATAAAGTTTGTTATCTCTGGAATTTTATCATCATACATTTGTTCTTTGCATTTACTTCTCTTCTATTATGCTCTTGTTTTTCTACTGTGATTTTAGAAAACAGCTATTGAAGCACAACAAATAAACAGATAAAGGCACTATGTTAAATGTGCAGCCTAATGAATTTCTACCCAGTTGAAGAACATGAATTATGTCAATCTGGTGAAACCTCTGAATACTGTATCCCAACTCTAAACTGTATATACTTTGCAAAGATATTTTTTTGTCAATATATCCAGATTTTCAGCAACCATAAGCAAAATTTGTCTTTGTTTAAAATTATATAATATATGCAATTTCTCCTTTTGTACCTGGTTTTATTAACTCAACATTATGTTTGAGTATATGTCCTTTCTGGTACATGTAGGATGATTCATTCACTTTCATTTTTTAATACATTATAGTTTATATATACATTCTACTGTTGATGCACATGTGTTGTTACCAGTTCTGGCCTCTTATACAACTGTAGATATTGCTGTACATGTTTTGAGTTTTACCAGTTTACACCCTCATATATCTTTGCTGAATCATCTTGCCAAACACTTTCAGGCAGGAGGGTAAAATAATGCTTTTTACATCTTATTTGGAAATGTGAGGTCTCTTGAATCAAGTATGATTGCAGCAGCCTTTAGCTTAGGGCTATTTTTCACCCATCACTAAGTCAACACCCTTCCTTATACCTTACCCAATGTTCCCTCAGTTAGTCCCTTGGATTGCCAAGGAGACAAAACAGTCAATCCTAAAGGATATCAACCCTGAATAGTCATTGGAAGGACTGATGCTGAAGCTGAAGCTCCAATACTTTGACCACCTGATGTGAAGAGCTGACTCATTGGAAAAGACCCTGATGCTGGGAAAGACTGAAGGCAAAAGGAGAAGGGGGTGACTGAGGATGAGATGGCTGGATGGCATCACAGACTCAATGGGCATGAATTTGAACAAACGCTGGAAGATAGGGGGACTGGCATGCTGCAGTCCACAGGGTCGCAAAGAGTCAGAAACAACTTAGCAAATGAACAGCAATAGCATCCAAGTTGGTTGGAATGTGAACCAAACCATCTCTGGTCCTGTGTAAACTTAGGACTATTTTCTTCAACCCTAAAGGTGTTTTTGTTTTTGTTTTTGTTTTTCCCCTCCTGGTATGTTTTCTCCCAAACAAGTGCTGAATCATCAAAAGGAATCTAGAAGATCTCAAGCACAGAATGTTTGGTTTTTAATTACATTTTTAAACATCTGTTAATCATAAATAGATTGCACTTAGAACCAAAAGTCTTGCTGATATCTTTGATTTGATTTTATAGATTTTCTACAGAACCATTTGAATTTTCTTTTAAATTTTTCCATAAAAAATGATGAAACACTGGTTTATTTCATCTTTAAATAGTTTTTTAAAAAATATTTCTAATAAACTTGCTAAGATTTCCAGAATATTATTGAATATTGCAAATTTAAAAAAATTTATTAAAGACTACAATTCCACTCATCTTTTATTACTGAACTTTGTGTTTACTATAGATTATTCTGTACTGAATCCTTTTCAGGGTAAATGCATTTTTCTATCCCCAGTTTGTTATCAAATATCTTTCATTTGAATAGTTATTGAAAAAATTTAATGCTTGTATCATGGTAAATTGTATCNCCATGGCTAATTCATTTCAGTGTATGACAGAAACCACTGCAATGATGTAAAGTAATTAGCCTCCAACTAATAAAAATAAATGGAAAAAAAAAAGAGAGCTAAAAAAAGCATTACATTATGTTGGAATACTCAAATGTTCGGTAGGGAAAACAAAGCCTAGCCTTTCTTTAACATTTACCGTGTGCAAGACTAAACTGGGCTAAACTCAAATCCTTTCATTTAATTCCTACAATGGACCTATGAAATAAACACTATCACCCCATTTCACAGATGAGATTCAGAGTAATAAATAAGTTGCATTAGGTTACAAAGGTAAGTGGTAGATCCGTACCCAGAACTATGACCTCCTAAGGCTGATCTTTCATGATACCTCTAGGCACTCTTCCATGTCACCATGGCCATTCCCCATCATACTTTTCTCACCATATTGTCTTTTTACCTCCTACCTCCCCCTACTTCATCGTTAGCTCTGCCAAAGCAAAGACAGCCTATTACCCTTCTATTTCCAGGAATTTAATGCAATGAAATGCCTCACGGTAGAAGCCCAGTACATGCCCATTGAAAGACTAATATTTTAAGGAGTCACTGAAAGTTAATATAGTAAAGAAAACATTGTATTGTTATGGAAACTAACTGATGTGGAAAGTGCCAATTGCTTTTATAGTTCTGTTAGATGTTCCTTTTTTCAAAGATGAACTCTTTCAGAAAGATAGGAGAGCTGATCACTATTGCATATAGGAATTCAGAAGAGTAAGAAAAAATCCGCAGATCCTGAAGTGATGTGATGTGGTATCACAGTATTAGGAAAGGTTAAGGGGATGGATATTGAAAGTATAATTTAATTAAGGGTCTTTACATTTATGGTGGCTCATCTTCTACACACAGAAGCAACCTGCTTTTCATGGATAGTGAGCTCCAAGTGAAAGGAATATTCCAGGCCTTAGGTCATTTTTTAAAGGTTAAAATGCAGTTAACATAGGAAAGAACACTATTTTATATGAAAACATTATTTGGTATAATTTAATGAGGACAAATCAACTTAGACTTCAGCTCAAGGGATTCAAATTCTATCAAAGAAAAACATTTCTGATTATAAGGAAGAATTTACCAAGGGAGTCAGGAGAGGATTCTGAGTTTGCACATGCACCTTTCACAGGGACTGTCCTGACTTCTATAATCATATCTTGCTCGATGATGCTCTGACGATAATGTGATTATATGTCCATTTTAATCTGGGTCTTTAATTGCCTTGTCTGAAAGCTACAGGGGATAAAATCTCTTTACCTCTGTCTCTTTAAGCATGTTTCTGCCATTTATCCCCTCTTCTAAATGGTGCTCCGAGCTTGAATTCTGCTGTTGCTCTCAGCAGTCTTTAGGAGTCAAAGACCTGAATGAACAAGGACTACCACGCAGCCTGCAGTGCCCACCTCTCTCAGTGTGGACAATGCCAGTTTTTTAAGCCTTACAGAAGGCTGGTGAATACCCTTTAGCTCCCTTAACATAAATTTATTAGTAAAATAAAAATATTTCAGAGTGAAGAAAACATATGGAGAGTGGAGTTGTTATCAGCCACGTCAAGTTGCATGACATATTGCAATGATGCTTTTGTTGATTTTGTTGTCTTGTAATTGGTTAATATGAATCCTCTCTAATGTGTAGTAAGGTCCGTTATCCTGAATTTTGAGGTAGTTATGAAAAAAATTATAAAGTAGCAGCTAGACTGAAATGAATGTTAATGACCTATTTTATTTTTTTGATGACATTATAATACATTCTTTTCTGAGACTCTTCCCGGCTGTCTTAAGACTGTCTTCTCTCCATGATGAGATCCATACCCACTCAGAGATTCCCTACATGGTGCTGTGTTGTAGTAGCCCATATGCTCATCAGCCCATCTCACTGGACTATTAGATCTTTCAGAGCAGAGCTGTGTCTCGTTACCTTTTTCCTTGATATGGCATTTTGCAGACTGTGCCGTAGTCGATCAGTATTTGTCAGATTCCTTTTTGTTGGAAATAGTCTTTCTCTCTTTTTCCTTCTTACTTATTCATCTCTCACTTTCTTCAGGTCCTCTCCATCTGTCCCAAGGACATGAGAGCTGATATCTGTGTTCATCTAAACCGGAAGGTTTTTAATGAACATCCTGCTTTTCGATTGGCCAGCGATGGGTGTCTGCGAGCCTTGGCAGTAGAATTCCAAACTATCCACTGTGCTCCTGGGGACCTCATTTACCATGCTGGAGAAAGTGTGGATGNTACACACTACAACAATTCTTGTTTGCTTAAAGAAGATGATAAAACACAAGCCCAAAACAGGTATATTTTTTCCTACATGTTCATGTCAATGGTGAGTGGGAGAGCAGACATCAAATATATTACAATGAGTACTGTTGTGATAAATTTCCTAGACTGTGCATTCATTGTCATTTGTTTTGCCCCATTTTCTTCATCACAGCTTCACCTTGCTAGCTTCTTTTCTAAAAAGATGGATTGAGAAAGCCCTGAGTGCAGTGCCTCTGGGCTAGGTCTGCTAAGCTGGAATCATTTGCTCAGTGAAACAGACAAAATGCATTTTCTTTTCATTTTAAAATAAAAGGGTAGCTAGTTTTGCCCAATGACACAGTAAAAATGAGCACAGAGCCTCTGGGTATTGGTCCAGTTTCATCATATATTTGTCATATTTTATTTCTTTGAATGAATGCTTTTTGTTTATCCTCCTCAAAAATCTGGATATTTCAGAGATTTTTCATCTCTTGGTTTAATGAATTAAATTACATATATACCGCTCTGGCAATCTTTCTTTCCTTTATTCTGTGGGTCTCTAACAAAGATTAGCTCAGCCAAAAGGCAATCAAAAGGTTTCTGTTTAAAAAAATAAATTGCCCTGGAAGTGATCTTCCAAGGAAGAAATAAGTGCGGGGGCAGGGGTGTGGGAAGGCGTGATGCTGGAGAGGCTCAAAGGGTCACCTAGGTACCCTAGTGCTGGCCAAAGTCACATCCTCATGTGTCTGTGATTTGGATCATCAGTAACAAGATAGTTGTGGAGAAAAACTTTGAGAACTCTGCCTTGGTGTTGCACCTTCTACCTATCTGGCTTTATAGGAGGGCAGTCTGAGGAGTTTGTGGAGTAGGAGTGTGGACTTCTAGTGAGTTTCTGCAGGAGACGGTGTGTGATGTCACATGTGAGAGATGTTTGCACCACATGCCCCAAGGAGTGTGTCTGCCGTGGTCCAGACACATGCTCTTGTGCTCACATGGCTTATAGGTTCCACCTATAAGCCTGCTGAAGCCTGTGTCTGTTGCCACCTGTGCTTCATCTAAGAGGCATGGAACCTGCCAGAAGGGTCTTTCTTAATGAACCAGCTTCTTGACTTGTAGATTGTCTCACTAGCTTGTTGTGTGACTTCAACCACAGTGTGGTTTCCACTGGGGATGCATGTTTTCAGACTTTTCTAAGCCAACAATACTTTCTTTTATAATTAAAAAGGATTTTTGTTTTTTTGTTTAACACTTTAGATGTTTAACAATGTTTTAGGAGAGGGAGAGGGAAAAGGAGTAACTCATCCACATCACTTCTGACACTATGCTGACTGTTCATTCTTTTTATAATCCTATTTTTTCTTATTTCTAATTTTTTGGTAGTCTAATTTTGAAATATGCAAACTTAATGCAAAGTTACAAGAGTTATCAGCACATGAAGTTTGGCATATATCAAGGTTTTCAACCTTATTGAGTAAGTTAATTAGGTTTTCTGTGTCTTTACTTATTTTTTTTCCTCTTTATCTATCCTGGAACTGAGAGTGACATGTTATTTTATTATTAATGTGTTGTATCTATGTCTCTTTATATTTCCTGTAGTTTGCTATTTATAATGTTTACTACTGTGTTATTTGGTACACAGATATTTGTAACTATTTTATCTTCAGCTCAATTGTGACTTTTAGCATTGATTTCTTTTCTTTTTCATCACAACCCTTATTAAGGGTCAGACAGAAACTGCATCCCCTCCCCCATCTGCATATACCTCAGAAAAATGAGAATTTGTCTAAGTTGATCTGATAGGAGAAATAAATAGGCCTTGCTCTCTCTTACGCTGATTTATTTGCCAGTTGAAAAGTAGAGGTGAGGTCATTTTTAAAATTAATTAAAATCTCTGAATCCAAAAACCAGGTGCAGTTCATTCTGTTGGATCTTTGCCTCTCAACGGTCTCTTGGTAGCTCCATAATTCTTTAATGTGTCAAAAGTGTTAAGGTATTTAATGAATAAGTTCTGAGGCAGAACTAATTAATGGAAAGATAAAAATATAGTCAATAAATACCTTCTCTTTTAACATGGAGAGATGGCTTCAAGATGTTTTCTAAATAGGGCACATGAAGATAATTGCAGTTCATGTCTTTTTCTAAATTGAAGTTCTTTCAGTTCTTACACCCCCACTTTTTTTTTCTTTTGACCTTCCCACTTTTTATAAAACACAAAGAATTCCAAATTAAGTTCATGATGCATACATAATATTGTATGTGCTTTAATATCTTCTTGCATTTTAGTTTTTACCCTATAATTACTTAATGTGAACAGATTTATTGGTATGCCTAAAATAGCCAGATTACTTTTAAGTGTCTGACAAAGTATACTGTACCTTACAGAGACTATATAAATGGCATTTCCCCACTAACTTTAGACGTGTCTTCTAAAATAGTTGATTTGCTGCATTCACATTTTGACTTTTCTCTTTTCACTGATTACTAAAATCATATGGTTAGAATTATTAATCTAAGGCAATCTATGTCTAAGTCTGTTAACTGTAACTTTAAGTTCCCAAGAGAACCATGCTTATTTATGTAGAGTTTGAACAGAGGCTTAGATGTTGTTTTTAAGTTGAAGGAGAAGGCATAAGAGAAGAAGAAAGAGACCGAATTAAATGAACTTAATAATATAAAATGGCTTCCCAGGTAGCACAGTGATAAAGAATCTGCCTGCAATACAGGAGACACAAGTTCAATCCCTGGGTGAGGAAGATCCCCTGAGGTAGTAAATGGCAACCTGACTGAAGTATCCTTGCCTGGAAAACTCCATGGACTTAGGAGCCTGGTGGTCTATAGTCCATGGAGTCTGCAGAGAGTTGGGCAAGACTGAGCACACACACACAACACAACACAATACAACACAATACAACACAGTAATATGAAAAGTGTAATTTCTATTACTTGGGTAAAGATTCCATTTTAATTAGAATTGTTATTTAGAATCAGTTAATCTCTTATAAACATTTGTCCATTATCAAAGAAAGCATATATTCTTCAAAAAATTTGAAAATTCTACTCAAAAAAACATAAGAGCTCAAAATCTGCTTCTTATTTTTATCACCCCCCAAAAAAGAAATCTGAGATGTGAATGAATAATATTCTTCTATTTTGAGAATCTGTGAAAATGTTACTTTAGTGTTGTGGCTAAAATTTCTTCCCATATACTTTTTGTTGAAAGTCAAGTGTTTCACACTTAAATTCTTTAAAGGGCTTTTCCCAAGCTCCACAAAATTATTTTCTTTTGTGTCCACATTTCTCTGTTTTGAGATGCTGTACTATGAACCAGATAAGTTTGCTATACATATTGTGATGATGATGAACTTAGTTAATTTAGACATTTTTATGAAAGTATACCAGTTATTTGCTTTAAAAAACTCATGCCTGTCTTCTTTTAAACTTTGTAAGTACTGAGTAAAACATTGGTTGTCTATGGCTTAAATTATACACTTTAGAGTTCCTCAGTATGTAGATTTTAGGGTAAAATATAGTCTTTATTAACTGGCAATTTAGACATAGGGGGTTCCCTGCTGCCTCAGTAGTAAAATAAAAAAGAAAAAGAAAGGAAAAAAATCCTCCTGCTAGTGCTGGATACCCAGGTTTGATCTCTGGGTTGGGAAGATATCTAGGAGAAGGAAATGGCAACTCACTCCAGTATTCTTGCCTAAGAAATCCCATGAACAGAGGAACCTGGTGGGCTACAGTCCATGAGGTCACAAAGAGTTGGACACGAGTTAGTGACTAAACAACAACACAAAGTTTAGACTTAACTTCACACCCTCTCCCTACCATCCTTCAAAACTGATCTTGTTCATTCTGTTTTCTTGGTGTCTCTTTAACCTATACTTAATGTCCTTTCTTTGGAGGGCCACTCAAGATAGATGGGTCATGGTGGAGAGTTTTGAAAAATGAGATCCACTGGAGAAGGGAATGGCAAACCACTTCAGTATTCTTCCCTTGAGATCCCCATGAACAGTATGAGAAGGCAAAAAGATAGGACACTGAAAGATGAACTTCCCAGATCGGTAAGTGCCCAATATGCTACTGGAGATCAGTGGAGAAATAACTCCAGAGAGAATGAAGACATGGAGCCAAAGCAAAAACAATACCCAGGTGTGGATGTGACTGGTGATGGAAGCAAGGTCCGGTGCTGTAAAGAGCAATATTGCATAGGAACCTGGAATGTTAGGTCCATGAATCAAGGCAAATTGGAAGTGGTCAAACAGGAGATGACATGAGTGAATGTCCACATTCTAGGAATCAGCAAACTAAAAAGGAAAGGAATGGGTGAATTTAACTCTGATGACCATTATATCTACTATGGTGGGCAAGAATCCCTTAGAAGAAATGGAGTAGCCATCATAGTCAACAAAAGAGTCTGTAAATGCAGTACTTGGGTGCAATCTCAGAAACAACAGAATGATCTCTGTTCCTTCCCAAGGCAAACCATTCAATATCATGGTAATCCAAGTCTATGTCCTGACCAGTAATGCTGAAGAAGCTGAAGTTGAATGATTCTATGAAGACCTACAAGAACTTCTAGAACTAACACCCAAAAAAGATGTCCTTTTCATTATAGGGGACTGGAACACAAAAGTAAGAAGTCAAGAAGCACCTGGAGTAACAGGCAAATTTGGCCTTGGAGTACAGAATGAAGCAGGGCAAAGGCTAATAGAGGTTTTACAAGAGAATGCATTGGTCATAGCAAACACCCTCTTTCAACAATACAAGAGAAGACTCTACACATGGACATCACCAGATAGTCAACACTGAAATCAGATTGATTATATTTGTTGCAGCTAACGATGGAGAAGCTCTATACAGTCAGCAAAAAGAAGACTGGGAGCTGACTGTGGCTCAGATCATGAACTCCTTATTGCCAAATTCAGACTTAAAGTGAAGAAATGATGGAAAACCACTGGACCATTCAAGTATGACCTAAATTAAATCCCTAATGATTATACCTTGGAAGTGAGAAATAGATTTAAGGGGCTAGATCTGATAGACAGAATGCC